AACCCCAAAACCCCAAAACCCCATCTCATATGAATATAAAAGAGTTTCGAAAATATAATTAAATAATAATATTTATTTTATTCATCAAAATGCAACTAAAATTTATAATTTATCATTATTTAAAGTTTTAACTTTAGTCAAGATTTTGTATGATCTTATTGAGTTCCTCATCACACGTCTAGGCAAAACAACTAATTCCTTCTGTAAATTTGGATATTTCTTTTTAGATTCCATCAATTTTCTCCTTCATGTACATGTTCTAAATTTAGATTATAGCATTATGAATAATATTGATACCAGTTCTTGATCTTAGTTGAGTTTCTTCTTTTCAAGTTCAATGCCATTCTTGTTTTTCTCATCAATCATTATTCTCTTGTAAGCACTTTTCTTGTTTATCTCCTAAATTTCTCTTTTTCTATGATCATTCTAATATCAGATTTAGTTAAAGTTATTTAATATCTTACCACTTGCTTGTGAATGTTTCTCTTGTACCTTAACAAAGAATCAGCTTTAATCTAAAAGGCGATCTCGGGATATTTGGGAAAAATTTCTTTTTACAAGAATTTTTTCGTCAAAGCAAATGATTTGACCTCCTTGATAACGATGTAAATAAATTGACTCTTTTAACAATTTGCTACATAGTGATCGCAAATAATGCAATCAGATTTAATTTTTTTGGCAATCTTATATTATTTTCTTGATATTCCATTTGCAATTAAGCTGTAGCCGATTCCAATCTAGCCTTCAACAATAAAATACATCTCTGGGACTTCTTCTTCCTCATCGTATATTATTTTATCCTCTTCAGTAGGCTCAAACTTCCTAGGCATAAATCCAAATGAGACATCATAAAGGAATCTAGATTCTCTGTTTTCCTAGGTATTGAAGAACATCCTAAACTTGTAAAAGAGATCTTCAAATAAATAATTCGTCATTATTTATCTCTTAATTGATCTTGGTAAGGCCTTCAGATACTCATCTTACTATGAAAGACTTGCAAGTCTGTCATTAGCCCAGAAATAGCCAAAATGATTTTCTATCTAAGCACTTAATGATTTAGGTAATGGCTTATTATTAGTAAATCTTGTTAATAGAGTCATCCAGTTGTGCAAATCTGTTCCTTTGTCAATCACTCCCATTTTTTTCTCATAGTTTGAAATAATTTCGATAAAACTTCCCATAATATAAGAGAAGAAGGCAACTCCACAAAGCATAATGAATACAGCGATTATTCTTTCTAAGTTGCTTATAGGGTAGTAATCTCCATATCCAACAGTGGCAAGAGTAGTAAGTGCGAAATAGCAGCTTACGATTAATTGCCTCCAGTTGTCTGTCTAATCAAGTTCGAAGTACTTTACAAATGTATTTCCATTCTAAATGTCTTCATCTTAATTTAAATCATTCGAAACTAGAAACCAAAAACAGCCAATAAAGTAAGTGATAATGATAGCAATTATGACTAGTCTGAATATTTTATAGGCATACATCATCATGTACTGAGCAACAATTCTTTCATCTCTTGATGAATTTTCAAAGAATGATTTCAGCATTTAATTGAATCTTGATATATCAATTAGTCTGATAAGTCTGGGAAGTCTAAATAATCTGAATAACTTAGTTAGCAATGTCTGTGTTGAAAATAACTGATTAAAAGGAAATACTGATGCAAAGTCTACTATGAACCATCCTCTAAATGTATAAATATTTAAGTCTTAATATTACTTTAGAATGTATTTCTTTGAAATAGATTTTATATCTCGGACATTTTAGTAGGTCTCTGGATCCTTGAACTCTTATAAAAAATTTAATGCTAGATCTAGCCAAAAGAATGCTTCAACTACAATATCGAAGTTTACTTGAAACATATTAGTCGGCTGATCAAATGAAACACTAAATTGGATAATAATCTTATTGAATTACTAGAATATTGAGGTAAAGCAGGAGTAACCAACTAATAGCAGCATCCAAATATCAAATGTCGCCTTCCATTTATTGCTTTAACTTATAATGAACCTATCTAAAAACGGTTTTTTTTAATTAGCAAAATCATCAGCGCCGGATTTCATTATCAATGATTATCTGTTATTGTTTTGAATATTGTCAAAAATCTTGTTTGTAGTCCTCACTCCATAAAGTATGATTTTCTTTTTTATCTGATATTCATCTGCTTTAGTTGGTCTTCTTCTATATAAAGTTGATAGTATTTGCTTGAAATATGCATATGAAGTATTACCTCATATCTTATTATTTGTGTTTATCCTTCGACTAAGGCTTTTCATGCTATTTTGTTCCATCTGCATTTTATGTCTTCATTTTTTAAAAGGGAGAACCCTCTAAATTAAATGTAAGCAAATATATTTTGTAGAATACAAGAGTTCTATTTATTCAAATCAGACATTTGATATTATTTGTTTAATCATTGAAAAAACTATTTATGGCAGATTAGGGGTTTTGGGGTTTTGGGGTTTTGGGGTTTTGGGG